CTTGATTACTGTATAACTGGTGCACGTTATACTCTCCACACAAGGTTCCGCCTGGACACCGCTTTCAAGACAGAGTGTGTGCCTTTGGTAGAAAGAGAAGAAAGAGAGAGAGAGAGAGGGAGAAGACGCTACACGGAGCGTTTTGTTTATACCAGACGTATAACGCAATAACAGTAAACCTTGATGAGCTACAAGGGCATGTGGAAGTCTAACTTATCTAGGTTTCTGTCCATTCGTTACTCCAACAGATATTTGAGAATTCTTCCATAGAGAAGATAACTATTGACGAGAAAGTCATACGAAGATTAAGCAAACCTCGAAAGGCATGCGGAGTAGTTGGTGATACGGGAGAGAGTGCACTAATTAGTTTTACAATATGACGGATACACGTAGAAGAGTAAAACTGTATGCTCTTAATACAGATAGGCAATGGGATGATCGTGGTACAGGTCACGTTTCTTCTGGTTATGTAGAGAGATTAAAGGGAATTGCTCTCATGGTAAGAGCCGAGAGTGATGGCACTCTCTTGCTGGAGAGCAAGATACAACCTGATACAGCATATCAGAAACAACAGGTACTAAGGAAATTTCATTTACTTTTCTTTGCATAACTATGACTTTCAAAAATAATGCAATAATTTAAAAAATTAGATATGTTACTCCCAACATAGAAATTTTATAAAAAGTTTTCTAATCTAATTGTGAACAATGAGATATAGAAAATTAATATATTTCTTTAATATTATAAAATTTTTTTATTATGAAATTTGATTAAGATAAAGGTTAATTTTTAATATTGCTGATTATTTACTACATATGAAATATTTAAAGTTTTTATTTTATAAAACAAATATTTTTTATATTGTATATTGAATAATTTACATAGCATGAAATGTATATGTATATATACAGTGTGCATATGATTTTAGGATACTTTAATAGTATGGTCGGAAGGAGATAATTTCGACTTAGCCTTGAGTTTTCAAGAAAAAGCTGGCTGTGACGAAATATGGGAAAAGATATGTCAAGTTCAAGGAAAAGATCCATCTGTAGAAATCACACAGGACATTGTAGAAGAATCGGAAGATGAGCGGTTTGATGATATGTCAGATGCAGCACCACCCATCGAATTACCTCCATGTGAACTTAGTCGATTGGAAGATATTAATGAGCTCATAGAGAATTGTTTAACGTCCCCAATGAGAAAAGAAAAGTTAGCAGTGGCACTAGAATCCGAGGGTTACATTAAGAAATTGCTAAATCTTTTTCGTACATGCGAAGATTTAGAAAATATCGAGGGATTGCATCATCTTTATGATATATTCAAAAATATTTTCTTACTCAATAAGAATGCTTTGTTTGAAGTTATGTTTAATGACGATACGATTTTCGATGTTGTTGGCTGCCTGGAATACGAACCGACATTATCTCAGCCAAAAAGGCATCGAGAGTATCTCCGACAATTAGCCAGATTCAAACAAGCAATTCCTATAACAAACACCGAACTGTTAGCTAAAATCCATCAGACATACAGAGTTCAATACATTCAAGATGTAGTGCTGCCAACCCCAAGTGTATTTGAAGACAACATGCTGAGTACATTGAGTAGTTTTATATTCTTCAATAAAGTTGAAATAGTGACTTTGATACAGGACGATGAGAAATTTCTTAATGAACTTTTTCGCCAGTTAATGGACGAAGCGACTTTAGATAGCAAAAGACGCGACTTAGTCCTTTTTTTAAAAGAATTTTGCAACTTTTCACAAAATCTCCAGCCGCAGGGAAAGGAGACGTTTTATAAAACGTTAACATCACTTGGTATACTTCCCGCTCTAGAAATTACTTTAGCAATGAATGATGCACAGACAAAAACGGCCAGTATAGATATATTGACTTATATTGTGGAATATTCTCCAAGTGTTGTACGAGAATATACATTACAACAGATAAATAATACAGAACAGGACCAAATGTTAGTGAATGTAATAGTTGCTCAACTTGTTGGGGATAGCGATCCTGAGTTGGGTGGAGCAGTACAGCTGGCTGGTGTACTACGTTTACTTCTGGATCCAGAGAATATGTTGGCTTCTGTTAATAAATCAGAAAAGACTGATTTCTTAAATTACTTTTACAAGAATAGTATTGGTACTCTGATAGCACCTCTTTTGGCAAACACGATTGGAGAACGACCTGCAAGAGAGGATTATAGAACAGTACAACTTTTGGGATTGATCTTGGAATTGTTATCATTCTGTGTGGAACACCATACGTATCACATTAAAAATTGCATATTGAATAAAGATTTACTCAGAAGAATATTGGTTTTAATGAAATCAACACATACGTTTTTAGTATTATGTGCATTAAGGTTTATGAGAAAAATTATAGCACTAAAGGATGAGTTTTATAATAGATATATAATTAAGGGTAACTTGTTCGCACCTGTATTCGATGCATTTGTAAGAAACAACGGCAGATACAACCTTTTAGATTCGGCTATATTGGAAATGTTTGAATTTATCAAATTGGTAAGTAGACATTACTTTTGTTTTGCTTGGTAAAGAATACATAAGGTAATATTTCTAATGATTTGTACATTTTACTATATTTTAGGAGGACATTAAATCGCTATGTTCACATGTTGTTGAAAACTTCTCAAAGGAACTCGAAGCAATTGATTACGTACAAACATTTAAGGCATTAAAGTTAAGGTATGAACAACATCAAGACAAGTTAAAAGATCGCGATAGAGCTACAATTGACAGGTATATATATTTAAATATATTTTTTTATATTTGCAATAAAAAAGAGATGAAAAGTATAATGATATAGAAATAACATTATATAATAAATATATAATTTAAATATAATTAATAGACATTGTTTTATAAATATAAAATCATATTTATCGATATAATTTATTTATGTCTGTAGTGTTCCATCAATTTTGCGGAATAGTCGGTATCGAAGGGATCAGAGGCAACTAGATGAGGAAGAAGAACTATGGTTTAATGAAGAAGAAGAATTTGATGAAGGTGATACAATAATATCAATCTTGCATTTTTAATTTTCATTGCTATTGTTATTCTCAAATTTTGTATCTAATTCTGTTTTTATAGATTCGAAAAGTCATCAGCAACAACAACAACAGCAATCTGTATTAAACAATAATACCGCTAATAATAATATTACATCACAACAACCGCAAATTAATAATAGCTCGTCAACAACGAATGAGTCACCAATTGCTTCAGATATAAATCCTACTCCAGCTATTGGCACAGTAGAAAAAACGGGAACAGCACTCTTTAAAAAGGTAAAACAAGAAAAAGATATACAAAATATACAATATACAAATGCACAAAAATTTGAATTGTAATAATGCATTAATTTAATATATTATTAAAATAATTAATATTTTCCAATCCATGTAATAATTAAATTGGCTTTTAAATAGCAATTTGTATTAACAAATAATTTTACATTAAATTATAGATTTTATATAAAAATTAAGATTTAAATAAATTTAACTTTCAGGGATTAGTCGATTATGAAGGAGATTCCGATGAGGAGGATGAAGATTCAGAATTAAGTCCCTCCACAAAACGACAACGATTGTCATAGTAGGCAAACTTGAAAAGAACGAGAACATTTGTGATTTTTAATTGCTATTATCATTTCATGACCCTTCTACACATGTAAAAACAGATCTATCCTTTTATTGTCAGAAGAGACATAGATTGAATTTTTTGCTAAGGAATGTGTGTGTGGACGCAACAATAAGTGCTTTAAAAATGTGTGATGGGCACTCATTTATAGGTCTGTCTGTGTTGACATGTGTATAATATGCAAAGCATACAAAATAGGGCCTGAATGAAAATTAAGCTATATCGGTTGAGTGTGTTGATAAAAGAGTGAACTTTTTCATCTCTTTAATGAAACAAACAGTGTAGTATTGTGGCATAATATGATGTAGCACGATGTATTGTATGATGCGTAAAGAGAAGTAAGAGATATTAAACAAATCATAGAGAGTCCATTCCACTTGTCTGGAAACATCTTGTGCACTAGGGAAGATAATCTCATGGATAACTATGAATAGACTAAGAAGATTGGCCACAAAATTAGCCAAGTTTAGTGACTTACAGAAAATGGAAGCATACGCTTGGATAAATACAGTGATAAATTGCGATATCACAGTTGTAATTAAACTGTAATCGCAATTATCTGGTTTACGAAGAAGAAACTTACAATGTGTTGTAAGTCCAAATTTTCGGAGACAAAGAGTACATGGTGTACCGCACAAAAACAACCGAGCGTTTTGTTTTGCCATTTGTAAGTTTTCTATCGCTTGGCTGTGCGATAGAGATCTGTTCTTTAAGACGGTCATTATGAAACTTTATCCATTTCGACAGAAATAGAATATTTAGTTTGTATATATATATGTATATTTGTAACGATTGTAAAACAGCCACACTCATGGATTAAACAGAAACATGCAATTTCTTTAAGGATTCAGTTCCCTTTGAAATACTTTCAACAAGCTTTTCGGTTGTCAATGTAAGTAGTAGTAATTGTATAATAAATATTTGATTTATGTATATTTACCAGTCTGCAAACTTTATGCCCAATGTTAATCCTTGATGTGTAAAATATAACCTGAATGTATCGCAAAATGCTTGAATATTAAGCTTATGTATAAAATGTATTGTTCGTATCTATATAATGGGCAAAGTGAAGCCAAGAAACGCAAAAAGCGCTTTGTAAAGACAAATTTATACACAATTTAGCTTTGTTAAATTATAACATGTTTATAATGCAATATATAATTTATATATTGGATAAAAAAAAGTAATATCAGACCATGCAATATAAAATTTTAATTTATACTAATTAAATTTGACATAAATTGACACTTTGTGTTATACAAGTAAATAATATTTGGAAGTTAGATATATACATAATTCAGTTGCTTTAAATTAAAATTAAAATTTAACTTTCCAATGTTATATCGGAAGAAAAGATATATCTATTTAAATCAGCTCCAGAAAAAAAGATGTCTGCTTTTTTGTATTATTTATACAACCGATAAAGCTGACAATGAATACATTTAATTTCATTTAATTTCATGAATGCATTTATTACTGTACAATTCCTGTAGCACATCACATTAATTACATTCATTTTTACATCAATTTTGGTTAAATTGATTTGATTTTACAGCGAAGTATTACAAATTAATGTACAGATTTTCCAACGATATGCCTAATATCCGAAAAAGAATTTCCAAGACTGCTTTAGGACTGTAAGTACGTAATGCTTGAAGTATTGCAATGGAGATACATATGTACACATATACATATATATTAATTCTTATTATACCGAAAGGGATATATTTAAAAGTTAATTCGATCATGAGATGAACAAATTGTGAATATCTGAGTAGACAAATTCGCTGGAGCTGAGTGATACATGTATATAAAATGTTGTGCAACTTGGACTGATCACAAAAAGAAGAGATGTAACAAAAGCTAATATTAATTAGTAAAATAAGATAATGCTGAGTAATGTTGTTCTTTATGTGTTTTACATATATCCACTTTATTTGATAATAAAGAACAAATATTAAGCTTAGAATGTTATATATTGGATGTAAAGAATGTAAGTATAAAAGAAAGGAAAGCAAATGAATTTTAATATCTAAGTGATATTAGAGAGTAAAAAATGCGGTCACGTGCTGTTTGAATTGAGAAATTTGATACATACATTTGTACAGAGTGTGTTACGCTCTTTTCATACATTTTCGTCATCATTGATATACTTGATTATGATTTACCAACTTTGACATTTGTTTTCATTTTTTTATTAATATTTGGTATATATTTGGTATTAAATTTGAAAGAATGAAACTAAATAATGAACTAAATATATTTTCCTATAACTATCGTTTACATTTGTAATATAAAAATATTTTAGTATCAAGTAAAATAAAATGTTTAATCCACTTAAATTTACAAACAGAAAAATTGTTGTAATCTCATATTGATTGGCTGCTCTGAAGATGTCTTCTCTTGAATATAACATTTTATATTTATTATAGTATTATATAATAATATTATAATTATATATATTATTATATAATAATAATAATATATAAAATTTATTATTATATTATTATATAACTTTGAACATATGATATGACAGTCTAAAACATTCTGCCTCAGAACCGTCGCCGAGATCGCATACATTTTTCAACCGTCACATCTATATAATATATTAAAGGGAGAAAATATATCGAGACATGCACACATTGTACAATATCGCATGCTAATATTAGCATGCGTTTTAATTATATAATGAAACAGGATAAGAAGCTTTTTCTTTGAATATATACATATACATATATGCACAGAAAAAGAAATCTTTTTATATGAAAAGCTATTCGAGAATTTTGTGAGTTAAGAGCATGCATAAAATATACAATCCTGTGTGTATTATGATAATAAGTGAATGAATTGTAATTGAAAAAGGATATTTTGCATTTTATTCTACTGGAGAATGAAAGAACAATCAGGCAACAAAAGTGACATCTAAATGCAGGATTCATAGCAAAACACGCAGTTATTGCAGAAAAAAATCATTTAATTTTTACAAATTCTGTATTCAATGTTGTATTCCCACTTTTCTAGCTTAATTCTAGCAAATGATTCATTTTTAATATTGAAATTTGACTGAATAATATTAAGTAAAAATTAATATCTGCAATAATAAAAAGAAACAAATTTTAAAAGTAAGTTGTATTATATTTCATATATATATGTATTTATGTGTATCTATGACACATGTCTATATATATATATATATATATGTTCATATATTATGTGGTTGAAAAAAAATTTATTTTGTATACTACAAATAGATGATAACTTTCATTACTTTATAAAAAGTATATGTTATTATTTAATTAAATAATATTTTGAGAAAAGTTAGATATTTATAACACGTACTTATTGCTGGTATTATGCTATGAATCCATTTCATTTGTTAGAAAGTAGACTGCAAAAAAGTGAGAATGATAAATGTGTGTTATATAAATACAGTGTGTTGTAGAAGTGCGAAGAGTATTTAATTAAATAAAATTTAAAATTAGATGAACACTTGTTAACAACACTAATCTACCTTGATATCTAATCTTTGAGTTTATATCTTGTAATTCCCATTGAACATAAACATAAAAACACTTTGTATTTGATTAACGTGATTTATTCAAATTAATATATAAAATAATTGTAGAATTTTAAGTATTATTTTTAATACTTTTCTATATTTAGAAATGTATTATTATCGAATATTTATTTTTATATAAACATATTCTGATACAACAGTGAGGAAAAAAAACGCTTTAAAATGCAGTATTCGTTTTTATTGAACGTAGTTTTACTTAAAAAAATCAGACTTTTAATAAGATAAAATAGCATATAGGTGAATGTACCTGCAAATATATGTTTTACTTAATCTATTCTTTATGAAAATCTTAAGAAATAAAAAAAATTCTTAAAACAATAATACGTAAATATATAAAAACAATTTATAGATTTTCGCACATTTCTCGTAAATTATATCTAAATACAAACTTGCGTGTACTATTTTTCTAGATATCACAATTGGTATTGGCTTTTGTATGAAGCACTGGAAATGCGAGTTTAAGACTTCTACAATTAATTATAAAAAGCCAATATATAATAACACGCAGTTAAAAATTACTTATGCACAACTTCGGCTTTCAATCGAGCTGCAAGAGCTCTTCGTACTTGAAGTATCGAAGGATCTACAGCTTGCGCTGCTTCTAGTTCTTGCTGGCCCTTCATAGTCGCTTCGGCGACTACTCTAGCCGAGCTCGGCCGAGTTTTGTTCATCTCTAGCTGTTGGCTCCTAGCTTCCTTCTTTAAAGCTACAAGTTTATCTCGTCTAGCTTTCAGATATTCTTGTCTCTTTTTAATATCTTCTGGATTCATCTGTAATAATATAAGTAATGCGATAAATTTTTATCTTTGTTACTACAATTCAAATTGTCTATTCAAATTTTCATAGAAAATTATTTATCGATATCGTATAAAATGCAAGTTAAAAGTAAATACCTCATCTTCATCGGATTTCTTTTCTGAAATTGGTATTGATTTAAGAGGCTCGGCTTTCCTGAGTTGAAGTTTATCCGACGGTTCTTTTTCAGCAGATACGGTGGCACATTCAACTTCTTCTGTCGATTCGTCGTCCGAAATATTCCTGGAATCATCTTTTGATCTTCTCAATGCCTCTTCCAATAAAGCCCTTTCATTATGATACTCGGCAGCTAAACGCTCGTGTTCAGCAATCAGCGTTGTTTCAGAGGATATACCTGGTTCCTCCTCGCTCTGATCTTCCAGAACATGTTTCCTGCCCACGAGAAAAAATCAATTTTCACTCCATTGATTTTTAAAAATATCTCTAAGAGCTCGGACACAAAAAATAAACGGAAATAACAAATAAGGCATTAAATATAAAAAATTAGGACACAGAAAATTATTTTTGATCAATGAAAAAACATTTGGATATTTCTTGATTCTATATTAAAGTATAAATTCTTTTTTTATTTTTAATTTCCTTTTTTCTTATTCCTTTCATTGTTTCTAGGCTCAAAGAATACTTTGATATTTTTTGACTGTGTATAAGCATGGATTTCTAGAGTCGAAATTTAATTTTCTATTTCTAAGTCTTATTTTTAATTTCTTTTCTTTTCCTTTCATTGTGTTTAAGCCCTAATTAGAATATATGATATTCTGATAATTATATGATATTCTGGTCATTATATTTATGGTATGTCAGTATATTTATGGTACGACGTACTGTATCAAATCCTCCATGACTAGCTCGTCGTCGAGAAAGCCATCAGTCTCATACACGAGGGAGGCAGGTGTGAGACCGTATTTTTGTTCGATCATATTTAGCGCTTGCAGCTGGAGCTCCAAGTTCTTCTGTATCATCATCCTTTTGAATATTTCGTATTCATTCGCCGCCCATATCTGCTCGAATAGATTCTGCAAAATATATGTGCGGCGGAACGCATCAGTTTTAAAAAGAGAATGAGTATTTATTAATATTTATTAATAAAAATGAATATTTATTAATAAAAAAAAAGGGCAAATTGCACCGTGATCGCACACATTTATTTTATAATACATTTATTTAACCTCTAAATATTATATAAAATAATTCTTTTATTCCTGATATGGAATACTCATGAATCTTTTTTTTAATTTTATGAAATAAATGCAAAAAAATATAACTCATCACGTGGATATATGCAAATGATGTCCGTACTTGTTGAAAATGTATCGGGATCTTTGTATCCCTGTTAACGGTACACGCGTGCTCAAATTGTTCCGGTGTGATACCCATGTCTTCCATAAAACATCCCAGCAGCAAATCAACCAGGTTTTTATACTCCTGATATATTTTTCGATATTCTTCGCAGTCTTCGGTATTGGCTTCGAAAACTACAATATGTTTATATAATTTTACAAATTCATCAAAATGAAGTATTGCAATTCTCATGGGGGAGCTTTCTAGTTTCACGAAGTGAACTTTCACTTTCCGTTACAGCGAAATTATTATGTTTATATAAATATATTTTAGAATATATAATAGACAGACATAATATTCTCGTTAAAATAAATAACGCTTTGAAATTTCTTTTTTTTTTTTCTTCACTTTCAACTCTTGAAAAAATATGAGGAAGATATTCTTGACGATCGTACGAACCGAGGGACTTTTCCTCGATGAAGGTCATCAGGGGCGAAGACCAGATGGGGCCTTGCAGAAATCCAATCAAGGAATCGAACACCCACGCGCTATCATCCTTATCATTCATTTCGCCCGAATTGTTTCTAACGTCACCGTGAATTCGCACACTCACGCCGAGGATCTTCCCTGCGGTCGTACACGTCTTAGACATTTGCCTTCTGGCTTGGCAAATTGTAGTCATAGTTACGATGGCAAAACATGAGTCGTTAGAATTAGACCTGCGCCAGTATTATTCATCGGGATCGATGCGCGTTCTCTTTCGGTTTCGATTACAGGCGGACAGATGATACCCGGAAATCATTGTAGAATATGCGAAGTACTTCGATATCCATGTTGATAAACATCAGGATAAAACATCCGTTTGCAGGAGGTTTAGCTCAGAAGAAGAATGCATCTCGTGCATCCACATTTAATAAAATACATACACAATCTTAAATAATTAAAATTTAAAATAAAACTGTTAAAGTTTGACAATTTATTCGAATGTTCGAGATAAAAGATTTACAGTCCATATAAATCTCATTTCTTCGCGAAATATGAATCGTATATTAATTCGTATTCGTACATTTTCAGTTTTTGCAATATACATTTTGTTTTTGTGTAGGAATATCTTTTACGTCTTCTCGCAAGAAAAGAAAAAGAAGATTAAGATCTGAATTATTTGTATTTAAATTTGGAAATCAGATTCGCAAATTTTTTTAAGAATGTTTCTTAATATCTTTTTTCATCAAAGAAAAATAATGCGATAGAATATAAAAATTAGATTTTTAAAAAGAATGCATGATGCGAGATTTAAAGCAATTTGGAGCAAACTCAAATTAATCATGATGAATTATACTTTCTCACTGTATCTAGACTAGTTAATTTTTTAATAAAAAATAAATTAAGAACGCAACAAAGTATATAAGAAATTGCAATAAAAACATTCTATGCCAGTTGAATTAATCACTAATTGAAATATATATATATATATATATATATATACTA